CTAGGGTTAGGTACTTGTACTCATTTCACTGCTAGTTCATCCATTCCTGTTCAGTGATTCCAACATCATTGGGTCGTTCCCTCCTGGTACCCAGCGGAGCCTCCGGCGGCCAGTCTACGGTCTCCGCCAGGCACCGCGTGAGTGGCACGACACACTGAGGACTACACTTGCGGCTCTTGGGTTTGCTCCCTCTACTGCCGACCCGTCGCTGTTTCTGCGCACCGACACTTCTTTGCCGCCGTTCTACATCCTCGTGTATGTCGACGACTTGGTCTTTGCCACACCTGACACTGCTGGACTCGCCCAAGTGAAGTCCGAGCTGCAGAAGAGACACACGTGCACAGACCTAGGTGAACTGCGCAGCTACCTTGGCTTGCAGATCACCCGGGACAGAGCACGCCGCACCATTACTCTGACTCAGTCACACATGGTGCAGCAGGTCCTTCAGCGCTTCCGCTTCACGTACTCCTCGCCTCAGGCCACTCCTCTGCCTACTCGCCACTCGCTCTCAGCTGTGCCTTTGGATGAGTCCGTAGAGTCGAGTGGCCCGTACCCAGAGCTTGTTGGCTGCCTCATGTACCTGATGACCTGCACACGACCTGACCTTACATACCCTCTTAGCATTCTAGCACGCTATGTTGCTCCTGGGAGACACAGACCGGAGCACATGGCTGCAGCAAAGAGGGTGTTGTGCTACTTGTGCAGTACGTCGGGCATGGGGCTTGTGCTTGGAGGGCAGAGTCCAGTGGTCCTCACTGGGCACGCAGACGCTTCTTGGGCTGACGACCAGGCTACGCAGCGGTCGTCACAGGGTTACACCTTCAGCCTTGGTTCCGGCTCTGTCTCGTGGCGGGCTACCCGCTCGTCTTCTGTTCTCGGCTCCAGTTGTGAGGCTGAGATCTACGCCGGGGCCATGGCTGCACAGGAGCTTCGCTGGCTCACCTACCTGCTGACTGACCTCGGAGAGCCGCCTTGTTCTCCTCCAGTGCTGTACATAGACAACAAGGCCATGCTGGCCTTGTGTCGAGAGCAGAGACTGGAGCACAGAACGAAGCACATTGCTCTCCGCTACTTCCTTGCTCGTGAGCTACAGCAGCGTGGTCAGCTGCGCCTTGCGTACGTGGCCTCTGAGGCCAACACTGCTGATATCTTCACCAAGGCACTTGCGCCTTGTGATCATCAGCGCTTCTGTACTCAGCTGGGTCTTGTGCCTGCCTTGCCTCACTTGCTCACCCCTTGACCTTGTTTGTATTGTTGCATATATATATACACCTGCTCTTGCTTGTCTAGCCTTATATATATATGTAATCCTGCATGTGAACTGGCCTTGTGGCCTTGAACTTGTGCTCAGAATGTGTGGTGACTTTGTGATCCACCCTGAGCTTGCTTTGTTTTGCTTGACTGGTCTTGTGACCCTTTGTTCTCCCCCACTTTGCCTATGGGGGTGTGTCAGATTTATATCACATAGCTACTGTAGGCTATAGTGGGGTAGCACATATGGGGTACAACTTTCTAGGGTTTGTACTTGTACCCAACTTTCCCTTAGTCATTTCATTCTCGTTCAATTTCACAGTAGCCTCCTCGAAGGTCTTTTTTTTTTTTTTAACCTGGGCTGTGCGCAGTTGGTCAATCAGTTCCTCGGCTCGTGGAATGGGGTAACGTGATTTGATGGTAACCCTGTTCAGTGCGCGGTAGTCGATGCACATGCGAAACCCCCCCGTCCTTTTTCCATGTGAACAGTATCGGTGTTGTGAAGGGTGACGAACTCGAACGAATGAAATCCTTCTCGGGCAGGTAATCCAGTTGCTTCCTCAGTTCGTCCAGTTCGGGCTAGGTCAGTCGGAACTGTTGATGTACCGTCGGCTGTGCCCCCGGTTCTAACTCTATCTTGTGGTCGTGCGGTCGTTGAGGTGGCAGTCCTGTTGGCAGGTCGTCCGGGAAAATCCCACTGTACTACTTCAGGAGCGCTGCCGAGTGATCCCCACCTAGCAGTTTCCGTAAATCCCCCTTTTTGTGATGCCTCGGCTTCCCGAATGTTGACTGCGTACACGTCAGCTCCTACCGCTACGGCGCGTTTCATCATAATTGTGTTGACATGCACCGAGGAAGACTTAGGTGAGCCCCAGCGAGGTAAGGCGATGTTGTTACCGTTCACTCGCACGGTGCAATCATCCGTCGTCCAGTCGATTCGCGGATGGTGTCGTCGCAGAAAATTATGACCGAGTAAAATGTTGGTTCCGTCGAGGGTTGTCGCAAGCATTTCCTGACTAAACGTGAAGTTACCCCCGCATCAAATCCGAACCAGGTCTATGCGTTTCCGTATCGCCAGTGGCGTGCCGTCAACCAATCTTGTGTTAATCTCAGGTAAGCATCTGTCCAGTGGAAGTCTCAGTTTCCGTGCTGTGGCGGTGTTGATCAGGCTGTGGCTGGCTCCCCCGTCTACGAATGTTTTAACAAAGTTTGTCCCAATTTTTCCACTAAGCATTATTCGGTCCGGTGTGGTCGATTGCGTGAACCGGCACAATCACTCGGTGAGGGTCGGTTGGGTCGGGCGAGCGGCGTGACCTGTCAGTAGAGGGACCATGTGCTACTAACTCCCAGCGTTTCCCTACTGCTTGGTCTGTTTCTGCTGCTCAGCTTCCCCCTTTCCCTTAGAGTTTTTCGGACATTCGTTCTTGGGGTGACCTAGCGGATTGCACGTGAAGCGGCGCCCTTTAAACGATGCGGCAGTGGCATTTGCGGCGACGGTACGTATCGTGGCACCTTTGTTCGTCCCACGGGATCGATGTCCCCAGTTGCTGTTGCTTCCGTAGGACCCCGGTCTCGATCGACGGAAAAGGTTGAGCTTCTCCGCCATGGCGAGAATCTCCCGAAAATCAGTGACGCCGCGGAGCTGAATTTCCTGAGCGATGTCATGCTTCAGGCCGCCGATTTAGCGGTCCATACGCTCAGATTCATGCATGTAGCCCACCTGCTCGCACAACGCCAGATACCCGCTAGTGTAGTCTTGGACGGAACCGAGTTGGCGCCAAGTGCGGAGCTTCTGACGCGCCGCTATCGAAGCCGCAATTGGCTGAAACCGAGAGCGTAGACCTGCTCACCACGCATCCTACGTGCGATATTGGGGCACCTCCACAAAATACGACGGCGCCTAGGGTCCGGTTTGTCCTTTCCGTGTCGGTAGAGTTGCGTAGTCCATCGGCTTCGTAACGACGACGCGCCACCAGTTCATGGCGGATCCTCGCAGCAGCGACACGGCGTAGCGAATCTTCGTTGTATCATTTGAAACGTAGTTGGCGTCGAAGAATACGTTTATCGTGAACAACCACGCCTGAACGATAGGACCACCCTGTTAACTCGGGTCAAAACATGGCGGGCGTTGCCGCTTCAGCGGCATCGGTGACGGCAGTGCCGAATCGTCGGTCGGTGCCGAAATCGTTGGTCGGTGCCGAAATCGTGGCGAGAGGCTGAATCTTGGCCGCATTCATCGCTTCGGGGTGTGTCGTGCCGTGGTCGTCGTCTCCGTCGTGGCGGACGACGCCATCACTGGCCGTGCTCGCGAGTTGCCCTACACTTCCGTGCTGCGATGCCTGTGGTGCAGATTGTCCCGGGGTGCCAGATGCTTGTGATTGTGCTTGTTGTGCTCGTGCAACGTCATTCTGTAAGGACGTACGTTCCGCCGTTAGCGCCGCAATTTCTTCTGAATTCTCGTGCAGCTGGCGCAACAGTTCGTTCAAGCGGTCCTGCGCGAGCGTCGTGACGTCGATGTGGTCAGCCATAACGAAGGGCGTCGGCTCAGCTTAGTATAGGCGTAGTCGTGGCTGCATGCGTTTACGAGAGAACTTGAGGACAGCGGCTCCTAGGTGCTGAGGGGTGTGAATCAAAAGTTGATTTCCTGGGGTGCGGAGATGCGCGGTCCGAAAAGAAAGTTGCTCTGATACCAAGTGTTACGGGTGCAATGCAACGAGGTAGTGAGGATTGCACCAAGGTGTTCAATGAGTACAAAGTATGAGCGAATACATATAGGCGAAACATGCAAATCGGTAACGCGGTGCGTGCGAGCTAGCTAGTGCTACGCTAGCGCGAGGTTCAGGCTAATCCCGAAGCGTAGGCCAATTCGGCTGCTCCAGCAGTGCGAGGTTTGGTGAAACAGTGCGCGCGAAGTTGGCGAAGCCCCGTTAGCAGTAATAGGCGAACAACGGCTGCTGCTGTACGCGATGTTGACGGTCGTGGTAAGGAATGTCGAGAAAAATCCTTATAGAAACTATGACCCCACTTGTTATAGATCAGTTAGTAAGAATCGTTTGAAATACACTCGAAGTGGAACAGTCAAGGGTTCCGCTTCGTGAGAGGTTGGGGGGCGGGCCACTTCCATCCAGCAAATCAAGGTTTGGTTCGGGTTGTGGTGAAAGGTCAAGACTCCCCTGAAACCACGCTTGCTGGTTCGCCGGACATCGCGGCGCTTGGTGCTCGAATCGAACCCACAAACAACATTCACCAATACGTGTTTCGGTTGCGCTTCAACCATTCGCACGTCAGCATCCTGAGCGAGAAAGTTCCGCGCTTCCTTGATTCAAAGAAGTTCCAAGGTCTTGGGGGCCCACAAAAATGAGACACCCTGGGGACAAAGCATCACCAGCAAAAGAAACATCACCTGCTCTGCTGGGTTTAACATTTTCGATCGAGAATGCCGTACTTTTTCTCCTCAATAACTAAATAAACGATGGTTGTGGATTTGTCTGGCATGTTCTGAAATTTACCTTAAAGAACAATTTGTTAAACGTGCTTCGGCTCGCCGGAAACAGCCGAGGCGCGCATTTGCACACTGTGCAAATGCCCCTGTCCTGAGCTTGGAAGTTGGAACCACCACCACCACCACCATTCGCTTCTGTCCAACCCCACCGACACCAATGCCCCTGCTATTTTAGCTCATCAAAATGCGAATTCATGTCAGCACATGCTTCCCGTTCATCATACTTGTCCTTTCCCACTTCCCTCTAATGGCTCCTTGCCGCACCTCCTTCGTTGTGAAACTACCGACAGTCATGATGCTTCTGGCCCTCTTCATATCTCTCCTCGCCCGTACTTCCGACGCACAGGGATACTCTTCTGGTCCTGTCGTCCGCCACACTAAATCGGTTGACACCCCAGGAGGGCAGGCTGGAGCCGACATTGTGGTGGCGAAGGATGGCAGCGGTGACTTTACCACAGTTCAGGTAAATCATCTGACAATCTTGTGCGATTTAGTGCCGTTAATTCGCGAAAATCGTTTCTCTCGAAAGTGATCGTGCCCTATGATTCTCGCATCCGAAGTACTGAGAATGCTAACGTTGAATAAGAATTCGCTTCGTACCTCTCACATGCCTTCGCGTTGATTTCGATCCTGTTCTCCAGGCCGCGCTTGACGCCGTACGTCCTGGCACGCCATCCCGCTGGAGTGTGATTTTTATTGAGAGCGGCGTGTACTGGGAGCGCGTCGTGGTAAGTACATTGTCTCACACTCGTGACAATTCCCAGTGGAACGCGTTAGGAAACGACTCCTAGGCCAGATTTCGCTGAACCCTTGGCATTTCGTTTGATATCATCCCCCGTATACTTTTACCAATGAGTCACACATAAGAGAGTTATCACGCCCGCCGCAGATGAACGAGTCTTTGCACCACGTCATGCTGGTGGGGGCCAACGGCCGCAAGGGAGACCGTGCCAAGATCACGTTCGCAAAAACCATGCCCTCAGGAGGGGGACTGGACGACAGCGCGACGTTTCGACTGCTGGCAAACGACGTGATGGTGTGGAATGTCGTCTTCGAAAATGCCTACGGACCCGGCGACAAGGGAGGGTGAGCTGAGAGCGTCTATTTTCCTGCGTGCGTGTGCTACTGGGAGGAGCGGCGACGAAGGGGAGAGATCAAATAGCTTAGTTCTTGTTGCGAATGCCAGACTTTCAGCTGTCTGGTTTTCTTCCTCATGCTTGCCCTGATCGCGCGTCTCGTCTGTCGCGGCCGCTATGCAATCCAACCGCCATGCGTATTCGTCGTTGCTGCTCTTCCAGGAGGGCGGAGCAGGCACTGGCGATCCAAGTGGAGGGCACGCGCGTCGCCTTCTTCCAATGCACGTTTATGGGATACCAGGTGCGACCGCGTAACGACAAGATCGAAATCACCGCCGGAGTAGTTGTTAGGAGTCCGCCTTCTACCACTGCATCTCCGTCACTTCTTGCACCCGTTCGTTCACGCGCTTCATTCTGAGCCCATTTGCAGCTCAACTATCCGCCTGCCCTCGTGCATTCGCCGTTCGTCGTACCTGTAACTTCCCTGCTACCTGCACTGACCTTACTGATCCATCGCATCCCCTTGGCAACCCCACCACAGGATACTCTTTATGCGGCCAACGGTCTGCAGTACTACCGCAGCTGCAGTAAGTTGGCGTGTCCCCCATGGATCTTCCCTCTCCCCCTGCACGTCCATCTCTCCTTCCTGCTGCTTTCCTTGCTATCCTCTGCTCTCCACTTCCCCCACCTCATTTTGCCCGACCCTCAACTGTCGCCTGCCCCCTTGTTTCCTCGTGGCAGCGATCTTCGGGCGCATGGACTTCGTGTTCGGCAACGCCAAGGCGGTGTTCGACCAGTGCCGCTTCCGCCTCGTCTACTGGGGCGGCGCGTACTTCGCGCAGGCCAGGGACCAAGGGGAGGACACTGGATTCGTTGTTTGGGGCGGCTCGCTCTCCCCATACGGAAAGGGCCCCATTCGCCCGGGCTACCTGGCGCGCGCATGGGGGGCGTACTCCACAGTGGTGTTCGTGAAGACCTACTTTGATGTTGGGTCGGTTCGAGAGGAGGGTTGGAGCTATGTGGGTGGTTACAGTAACACTCGGAACGTCATTTTTGGTGCGTACAAGTGTTACGGGCCTGGCTACAACTCGAGCCTGTGGGAGCACAACGGCAGGGAGATGAGCGCGGCGGAGGTGGCGCCGTACATGTCACCGGATTACGTGAACAAGGACAAGTGGATTCCGTACAACCCGCTCAACCTCATGCCGGCCGCTGGCACCAGTGCGGTGGGCAGCGTGGGGGCAGCGCGCGATCCGAAGTCACCTGTGGAGTCTATCGGCGCACGCGGACAGAGGCAACCTCGCGGAACCGGTTCAGCAGGGCGAGGCAAAGGCACGGGGGGAACGTCCAGTGGTCAGTCCCCTTCGAAGTCGCCTGTTCACAGTTCTGGCGGCACGGCCAAAGGCCACCGCTCTCCCAGGAACGCTACCACTGGCACTTCAGGCACGCACCCCGCTAAGGGCTCCAGTGGCAGCAGCGGAAGCAGGAGCAGCAGCAGCGGAAGCAGGAGCAGCAGCAACGGAAGCAGGAGCAGCAGCAGCGGAAGCAGGAGCAGCAGCAGCGGAAGCAGCAGCAGCAGTGGAAGCAGGAGCAGCAAGAGCAGCACTGAAAGTAGGAGCAGCACTGGAAGCAGGAGCAGCAACAGTGGAAGCAAGAGCAGCAGTAGCAGTGGAAGCAGGAGCAGCGGTGGAAGCAGGAACAGCAACGGGCAGGGCAGTGGGAATGGGAACGGCAGCAAGAGCAGCGGGAAGGCCACCACTGGGACTTCCAAGAGTGGATAGGACAATGTGAAGACCGCCTCCTCTGCATGATCCAGGCTTTGGTGTGGACTTGCCGTGAGGATGGCATAGGCGCTATTCAGGAAAAAGGCAAGCAATTCGTGGAGCATGCATTGATTGACAGAAGGTAATAAAACCTTGTTTGGCACTGGGCCAGCCAAGGTGATTGCTTCCAAATGGATGCATGCACATGTTCTAGAGGCGCCATGTTATTAGATGTCAACAGAATAATTGTCCTCAACCGCAGTTGTACAACATACCGTAGATTCCTTCAAGAAATGAAGTGGCTTTGTGCTGTTGGCGTGCCGGACCGACGTGAGGGCACTTGGTGCCCCACAGAACCTAGTGCGCTCAAAATGGAATGCCGCCACCACAAATTCCGAATCATCAAAGCACAACCGAAATGGAAGCTCACTTCTTCCCCCCCCCCTGCACACTCCCATCCCGAATGAGCCTTATCTTCGTTCCTTCCAAGTGAATACTGTAACGCGATAAGAGACAGTAACAAAGCGCGTTGTGGATGCTGGCGATTCTGTTTTGATAGAACAGTCATTCACACCATGTGTCTCGCCATAGTGTGTCTGAAAAAGAAAGGGATGGAGAAAGAAAGGGAGAAGGAAAATGGAACTCCCAAAAAGAACCTAGTGCACATTGATGGCCGATCAAACAGTAATTTCGAGGGTTTGTTTGACACGGTTTGGTACAGTCTACCACACTTGAGCGGTTTTGACTTTCACTGCTTAGACCATTCACACCAAAACTGACATTTTAAGTCCATAAAAAGGTGAACGAATACGAATTGAGAATTGACTCTGAACCTGAAACCTAAGCAGCACTGGTAGCTCAGTGGTACCACTCGGGTCCTTCCTGCATGCGTCCCAAACATGCTCCTCCCAAGTGTGAACATCCATTAGGGGGTGTCCAGCTCGTAAATTTAGGGCGCGTGAGGTCTTTGAAATTTGTAAAAGTTTATGTTTTTAGGGCGAATTTTAGTTTCTAACTTACAACGAAAGAAGTTCGAATTTCCTTCTATCTAAGTTCGAACATCGGGCTTACCACACTGTAAAAAATCGCACACACATACAAGGTCGAACCCCGACATTCGAACTTGTAAAAACGAGCCGAGCCGCACGTCAACATCATAGGTTACCCGGTTCGCTCGTCTTGACGGTGCGCCACGTCAACATTTTGCGCCTCGGTTTACAAGGACCTAGAGCTCCAACTCACCTTCCGCGCCGAATGTGTAGGGAAACTATATTCCTGTCAAATGTTGTAGCCTGTAGTGAGGTTTGTCTTAGGGGGTACAGAAGTTAGGGTTTGTCATATGTACCCCAACCAACATCAATGCAACACTCATTCCTCATTCTGACATGGTATCAGAGCCTAGCGCCGAGTCTAGCGCCATCTCCCCCATCTCGTCGCGCCCGTTCCCCCCGTCGCGTCGCGCCCGTTCCCCCCTGTCGCGTCGCGCCCGTTCCCCCCGTCGCGTCGCGCCCGCCTGTTACCCCCCCCGTCCCGTCGCCCTGTCCCGTCGCGTCGCCCTGTCCCGTCGCCCTGTCCCGTCGCGTCCCCCTGCCCTGTCCCGTCGCGTCGCCCTGCCCTGTCCCGTCGCCCTGTCCCGTCGCGTCGCCCTACCCCGTCGCGTCGCCCTGCTCCGTCGCGCCGCCCTGCCCCGTCGCGTCGCCCTGTCCCGTCGCGTCGCCCTGCCCCGTCGCGTCGCTCCCGCCCTTTCCCCCGTCGCGTCGCCCTCCCTAGGCCCTGGCCCGTCGCCCTTCCTAGGCCCTGGCCCGTCGCCCTACCTAGGCTCTGGCCCGTCGCCCTACCCTAGGCCCTGGCCCGTTGCCCTACCCTACGTCTTGGCCCGTCGTCCTAGCCCGCTCTTCCGCTGCGACTGAGTCCCCTTCCCCCCCCGTTTGTTACTCGCCTGTTCGTTCGCGTTGGTTCTCACTATGGCGACTCCGCGAGTTCTTCGTTTCGACGCCGAAGGTAGACCCCTTGACTTTTCCGTCTGGCTTCTTCGCGCTCGTCGTCTGTTAGAGAGTCAGGTCCAGGGGGGCGAGACCCTCTGGTCACACGCTACTGGTGACCTCCCCGAGCCCCCCGAGCCTACCGCTTTAGACCCTGCTCCTGACGACGCTGCTACGGCTCGCTTTGCCCGTCAGCGCGCTGACCGGACGGCTTGGACGTCGCGTGACGCTGCGGCCTGCATCGCACTCAGCAGCCTCCTCCCTGAGTCTGAGGAGGTCCACTTTACTCAGGTTCGCACCGCTGCTGCGTACCTCACTGCGATTAAGGCCCGCTACTCTACTCCCGCTACTGTCTCTCTCGGCCGTCTTTTCCTCCCGTTCCTGTTTCCTGATCTTGCCTCGTTTGAGCGCTCTGCTGACTTGATCGCTCACCTCCGCTCGCTCGACGCTAGTTACCGCGCTGCTTGCACTGAGGCACAGCTTGCACTGCTTCCTCCCCCCATGGCGATTACTGTCTATTTCATCGCCACTAGCCTCCCTGACCGCCTTGCCTCCGTTCGTGACGCGCTTCTGCTGAAGCACCCTAGTGAGCTGACTATCGAGGTCCTTGAGTCTGCACTCAAGGACGTCGAGAGCAACCTTCGTTCGGTAGCTTCCGCCTCTGGTACTGTGTCCCCCCCACTCTTCCACGGGTGCACAGTCCCGCAGTTACCCACCTTCACTGCCTCTCTTGCCACTGCCGCTACTGACGCGACTGCGGCTGCTGTTACGACTGCGTCGCGGTCCCGCGGCAGGGGGGGCAAGAAAGGTGGTTCCGGTGGAGGTGGAGGCGGAGGTAGCGGAGGTAGTGGGGGTGCTGTTGCGACTGGCGGTGGTGGGAGTGCAGCGTCTGGAGAGACCCCTCGTGCAGCGGCTGGTGACTCCACTGCACCTGCTGGTGGCGGCGACCCTCGAGCTCGTCAGTCGCCTCCTGTACTGCCGGCCCCGCTAGGTGGAGCAGCGGCGTGGTACCAGGCTCAGCGTCAGCAGCACCTTCAGCAGCAGCAGCAGCCCCTTTCCTCCCAGCAGCCTCAGCAGCAGCAGCGTCAGCAGCTGGCTCCGGGGTCGGGGCTGCGTCAGCCCCAGCGCGGTGCTGCTTACCCTCCCTGCCCCTACCAGGTTCAGACAGGTCCTCGTCGGGGCCACCCTTGTGGCCGCTTTCACCCCCCTGGTCAGTGCTTTGCTCAGCTCACTGACACGGTCCGGTTGACCTACGGGGTTGGCGGTCCTGCTCCTGACTGGCTTCCTCTGGTTCAGCGCTACGGCTCCGCTCTGTGGGGCATGTCTGCTGAGCAGTTAGTTGATCTGATTAGTGCTCCTCATGCTATGTATGCTGTTGTTGACTCTAGTGTTTCTGACTCTGTTTACTCTGGTGTTGTTAGCTTAGGTGCTAGTCTTGCTCAGTTGCCTGTTGCTAGTGTAGGTACTTGTGTAGACTCTAGACCAGCGACTACCCCAGAGGACGCTTCGCTGTCGTTCACACTGGACTCTGGAGCCTCCCACTGCTTCTTTCGAGACAGCACGACACTTACACCACTTCCTGCGCCTCTTTCTGTGGCTTTGGCTGATCCCACTACGGGACCAGTCACTGCACGTCACACTACCACTTTACCGTGTCCTGCTGCTCCCTCCGGGTCTCTCACTGGGTTTCACGTCCCCTCGTTCTCCCGGAACTTGGTAGGCGTGCGACCCCTCGTGAGCCAGCACGTGGGTGTGTGGTTTGAGCCTTCTGGAGAGACTGCGGTGTGTGTTGACGGAGACTCTTACCAGCCTCTTGCTACCTTTACTGCTGAGCCGGGCTCGGGTCTCTACACTCTTCACACTGGCCCGCGTGCGCCGCAGCAGCAGCCGCAGCAGCAGCAGCTGCCGCAGCCGCAGCAGCAGCAGCAGCAGCACCAGCAGCAGCACCAGCGGCCGCACCAGCAGCCCCCCCTACTGCCACTGCCCCCGGTTCCCCCCCCCGTTCGGGTCCCCGCGTCTCACCAGGTTGCTACGTCCCCCCAGGTGTCTGTGTCGTGTCAGGTTCCTACGTCTGTTCCAGTCGCTGCGTCGTGCTCCTGCCGGTCGCTTGCCCACCCCACCGTTCTGTGGCACCACCGGATGGGGCACCCGTCCCTTCCACGTCTGCGCGCTATGTCTAGTCAGCGTCTTGTCCTAGGCCTCCCTCGTGTCTTGCCGTCGCTGCCGCCTTCGCTTGCGCCGCCGTGTCGTCCCTGCGTCGAGGGTAGGCTGCGCGCCACCCCTCACTCCTCCTCCCTTCGTCCGGCCACCGAGCCTTTTGAGACGCTTCACTTGGACGTCTGGGGCCCAGCCCCTCGTCTAGGCCCTGAGCGTGAGCGTTACTTTCTGGTGGTCGTTGACGACTTCTCCCGCTACACCACAGTGTTCCCTCTGGCGAAGAAGTCTGAGGTGACTTCTACGCTGATCAGGTGGTTGCTCACCACTGAGGACACTCGTGGTCGTCGTGTCAGCTGTCTCCACTCCGACCGTGGGGGTGAGTTTCGCTCCGGCATACTCGCTGGATTCTGTCGCGAGCAGGGCATTCGTCAGTCCTGGACGCTTCCAGAGTCCCCACAGCAGAATGGGGTTGCTGAGCGCCACATAGGCCTGGTCATGGAGATCGCCCGCACCTCCCTGACTCACGCCTGTGCCCCCCATTTTCTGTGGCCCTACGCGGTCAGGTACGCCGCGCACCAGCTGAACCTCTGGCCACGTGTCTCTCGACCAGAGGTTTCACCGACCAGTCTTTGGACAGGGTCCCCTGGTGTTGCGTCGCGGTTTCGTGTCTGGGGGTGCTTGGCTCTTGTCCGCGACACCTCCGCGGACAAGCTCTCGCCTCGTGCCGTCCCCTGTGTCTTCCTTGGTTTCCCTGAGGACTCCTCTGACTTCACCTTTTACCACCCTCCCTCTCACCGGTTCTTTGACTCCCGTGACGTTCGTTTCGAGGAGTCCACTCCGTACTACGTCAGGTACCCCAGTCGAGGTCTCCCGGTTCCTCCCCCCCCCCTCTTCCTGACTGCCATTCCCCCTTCTGCTCCCCCGGTACAGCCTCCCC